GACCGTCCGACCGTCCGTCTGTCTGTCTGTCCGTGCGTCAGTCTATCCAACGTCATATTTCAGAATCCTGTGGGCCGATTCCGTTCATTCTTTGCATGTGCCTAGTACCTTATGTGGGACATGTGCACATGCAGTGGTTTAGCTATTTGATTCAAAATGGCCGACTGGCAGCCATCTTGGTTTTTGAAAATGTTGTATTTTGGACATACTTTGTCAGTTGTCATTCAAACTTGGTACATAGATTATACATGTTAGGATACATGTCCATGACGATTTATTTCGCAATTGGATCAAAGATGGTCGACTGGCAGACATCTTGTTTTTGTTTGTGTTGTCAGTTTTCATTCAAATTTGGCACATACATGTACTTTATACATGTTAGGATGCATGTCCATGACAATTTGTTTCAAAATCTGGCCAAGGATGGCCGATTGACAGCCATCTGATTTTTTGGCCTTACTACTATATTTCCACAATTTATGTACCATTTTCATTCGTATTTGGCACATACATCATACATATCAGTGTGTTTCATAATCAGATCAAAGATGGCTGCATAACAGCTGTTTTTATTTTGGCCATATTACTACGACACAAAACACGTGTTTTGATGTAAATAAACAATCTGTTGTATACGCCACTTGGAACTCAAGTTTCAAGGACAAGAGAACTTAACGGGGACTGTGTCATTTTCAATGACGTGTTATAATTAAAATTAGTTTGTCATCTAATTGCATGTTACATGGCATATCTCCATGTATTTATGTAGTAATTTGATACTTAGGTGATTTGGTTTCAATATTACATGGACAAAGAAAATTGTAATGAATGCAGTTCAGCTTGTTAGCAATTAAGCATAGTTAGTTCATTGACAAATCTATAGATTCACTATTTATTTATTTTTTACTTTTTGACTCCCATGTGCGAAGCACAAAATGGGAGTCTTTGCAGTTAGTGTGTCTGTATGTGTGTATGTGTGTATGTGTGTATGTGTGTATGTGTGTCCGACTGTTTCACTGCTATCTCAAGAACCCATACATCGGTTTTTGATGAAACTTGGTGCATAGATGCTCTGGGCCAATGCGCAGATTTGATTAGGTTTTGGTAAAAATCCATGCTCGTTAATTACCTAATTTGCATGATAATTAGCTAATTTTTAGCTGTTCTATGACTGTTCCACTGATATCTAAAGAACCACTCATTGGATTTTGATGAAACTTGGTACATAGATGCTCTGAACATATGCACAGATTTGATTAATTTTTGGTAAAAATCCGTGCATATTAATTACCTAATTTGCATGATAATTAGCTATTTTTTAGTGGTTCCATGACTGTTCCACTGATATCTAAACAACCACTCATTGGATTTTGATGAAACTTGGCACATAGATGCTCTGAACTAATGCTAGGTTTTGATTAGTTTTTGGTAATAATCCGTGGATACTAATTACCTAATTTGCATAATGATTAGTCAATTTTCGGTTTTTCCACTGATATCTCAAGTACTAATCATCACATTTCAATGAAACTTGGTACATAGATGTCATACGACACTGCACAGACCTGATAGTTTTTATGGTAATATCAGTACATATTAATTACCTAATTTGCATAATTAATTAATTTTCAGCATTTGATATAAGTAGTTAGCATTACATTTCAATGAAACTTGGTACTTACATACTCAAGGACTATGCAGAGATTGATTGTTTTTGATAAATATTTGTGCATATTAATCACCTAATTTGCATAATTAGTTAATTTTCAGCTTTTCCACGGGTATCTCAAGTACTACTGTAAAATCTGTATTAGAAGCCGCGGCTTCTATTAAAATGGTACAATGCAACAGAGGGGATGCGGCTTCTATTAGAGCATGTACACATATGAGAAATGATGAATTTTTTATTCTAAATTATTCAAAAAGAATGGGTGCGACTTCTATTAGGGATGAGGCTTCTAATACAGATTTTACGGTAATCATCACATTTTAATGAAACTTGGTACATAGATCCTTTAGGACTATGCAGAGACCTGATTAGTTTTAGGGTAAATAATTGTGCATATTAATTACCTAATTTGCATAATTAATTTTCAGCTTTTCTACTGATATCTAAAGTACTAATCATCACATTTCAATGAATCTAGAATTATGCAGACCCAATTAGTTTCCGGTAAATATTTGTGCATATTAATCACCTAATTTGCATAATTAACCAACTTTCACACTGATATCTCAGGTACTATACATCACATATCAATGAATGTACATGGATGCTGTAGGACAATAGACAGACCTGAATAATTGTGGGTTAAAATCTGTACATATTAATTACCTAATTTGCATAATTAACCAATTTTAAGCTTTCACACTGATATCTAAAGTCCCGTAAAAACTCCAAAATTTCGACCGGTTTTAAATAATTGGTGTTAGAAATGTGACGTGTTTTTAGAGTCAAAATTAAGGTGCATTTTCGGACGGTTGAATTTTTCAGAATAGAAATCAGTAAATGAAAAAATGGGGATGATAGACAGTGTGCTTCATTAGTTTTTAAAAAATGCAATGTCCGTCAATTGACGTAAACTTCCTCATGTTTCACGGTAAAAGCAA